GGGTGCAGGAGCTCTCTATCCATTCCCCTCCTGATCCCTCTCTGTTTGGGGTGCAGGAGCTCTCTATCCATTCCCCTCCTGATCCCTCTCTGCTGTTGCAGGGGTACCTCTCCGAAGGCTTGGTGACCAAGTGGTACCGCTCCCCCCGCCTCCTCCTGTCGCCCAACAACTACACCAAAGCCATCGACATGTGGGCAGCTGGCTGCATCCTGGCCGAGATGCTGACCGGGAGGATGCTCTTTGCTGGTAAGTTTCTGTCTCCTGTTGATTCACTTTTCTCCCTTGCTTGCTACCCAATTCCGAGGCTAGCCCAGCAGAGGGAATTTCCCTGTGTGAGGAGAGGAGGTGCTGGTGCCCTGTTCCAGCAGGTTTGTACTCTATTCCATGGATTTGGATCGTGATTGGTGTCTCCAAGTTATTTATTTTCTTTATGGGAAGATATTTGAATGACCTGTAACTTTTAGGATTTACCTGTGAGCACGGATTGCAGCTGTAAAGGTGAGGTGCAAGAAAAGAAGACAACAAAAGCACAGCAAGGAGTTATCAATGCAGCATTCAAAGCTCAGCTCTGACGTTATTGAGAAGAAAATATGCATTTAATAGAGTCCCAAAAATGCTGTGTGGGGAGCAAAGCTGTACTTCCCAGGCTGGGACACGGAGCCATCACTGAGGGATGCTGCAGCTCCTCCCGGGATGTCCTCTGTGCCTGCCAGCACTCTGAACGACAAGGCTTAACGCCTTTTGTGAGCAGCTGTTTGCAGAGTTGTGTAAATAAATAATCAGACCCGTTAATAATGGAGGAGAACGTTTCCTTCACAGATACCTCAGCGAAGAAGAGCTCTGCAGACTTAGTCTGCAGCTGCTCTGCTGCTCCCTCCCCACTCCTGCCTGCATCTTCCATATTTCTTTTGTGAAAGCTTAAAAATAAGCAGTCAGTACCATTATGAAGCGATCATTAAAAGTGCCTCCCTTTCCTTCCTTCTTTTTGTCCTCAATTTCACCAAAACTCTCCAGCTCAGGGATTTCAGCTTTGAAAACTGTGCGTTTAGGCTGTCTGCTCCTGGTGTTTCCTTGGGATATGTTCTAGGAGCAGGGACACCTGCACGTGCAGGGCATTGTCTGACCTTGCTGGGAGATGCTGCACTCTGTTCCACTGCACTTATTCCTCACGCCAAACAGCAAAACAGGAGCTGTTTCTGAGCTCCCGAGCATTTCTGGCTTTCCACACTCTGCCTGACCCCTCTCTCAGCCCCAGCTTGGGTTTCTTTTTGCTCTTTGTGGATCCCACGGGACAGGTAATTTTGGCTGAGGTATCCAAGGCGGTGCTTTAAGCTCATTTCGAGGTAAGGCAGAGGCAGAAGTAGTCCTGGGGTGGGATTGATCTGTCCTCTGCCCCAGAGCAGGAACCTCCCCAGGTTGGTTCCTGACAGCCCTCAGCAGGCGCAGAGCAGAGGTGATTTGGTGATCAGAGGTGGGGTTTGGCACACCACAGGCTGGGCTCAGCCCGACACACACGCTGCGAGCATCCCGTGAAATCACTGAATCATCCCCAGGGGCTGGCAGGATGCTTGGTTAATGGGCGGGGATCAAAACCAAGCTCAGAATAACTCCTTTTGGGTGGCTTTGAAAATCTGTCATTGTCATGGGAGGTTCCAGCAGGCACAGCAGGGCCAGGGTAGGAGCCTGGCAGCAGGCAGGATGCCCGTGGTGCCCAGAGAGGAGGGGAGTAAAGCCTAGCACCTCAGAGCAGCTAAAGCTCACAAACACCTGCACAGCAGCATGAATTCCCCTCTGCTCTTGCTCTTCTCTTTGCTCAGGAGAAGGAGCTCACCCCATGCCAGCTGCAGCCTCCCTGCAGGCAGGATGAGTTTCACAGAGCTGCAGGATGAGTTTCTCAGAGTTGCAGCCTCTCTCCCTGCAGGATGAGAGTTTCTCAAAGCTGCAGCCTCCCTCCCTGCAGGCAGGATGAGTTTCTCAAAGCTGCAGGATGAGGGTTTCTCAGAGATGCAGGAGTTTCTCAGAGCTTCAGGATGAGAGTTTCTCAGAACTACAGCCTCTCTCCTTGCAGGATGAGTTTCACTGAGCTGCAGGGTGAGAGTTTCACAGAGATGTAGGATAAGAGTTTCACAGAACTACAGCTTCTCTCCCTGCAAGATGAGTTTCTCAGAGCTGCAGGATGAGTTTCTCTGAGCTGCAGGATGAGTTTCTCTGAGCTGCAGGATGCCAGGGTTTCACAGAGATGCAGGATGAGTTTCACTGAGCTGCAGGATGAGAGTTTCACAGAACTACAACCTCTCTCCCTGCAGGATGAGTTTCATTGAGCTGCAGCCTCCCTCCCTGCAAGATGAGAGTTTCTCTGAGCTGCAGGATGAGGGTTTCCCAGAGATGCAGGATGAGTTTCTCAGAGCTGCAGGATGAGGGTTTCTCTGAGCTGTAGGATGAGTTTCACAGAACTACAGCCTCCCTCCCTGCAGGGTGAGGGTTTCACAGAGCTGCAGGATGAGTTTCTCAGAGTTGCAGCCTCCCTCCCTGCAGGATGAGAGTTTCTCTGAGCTGTAGGATGAGGGTTTCACAGAACTACAGCCTCCCTCCCTGCAGGATGAGAGTTTCTCTGAGCTGCAGGATGAGTTTCACAGAACTACAGCCTCCCTCCCTGCAGGATGAGGGTTTCTCTGAGCTGCAGGATGAGTTTCACAGAACTACAGCCTCTCTCCCTGCAGGATGAGGGTTTCTCAGAGCCCTGGGTGCCAGCCAGCGCCCCGTGGGGAGTGGCAGCCGTGTAGCTCATAGAAAGCCTCCAGCCTGCAGCAGCACCTTGCCCTGGTAAATGGTTTCTTGAGAGTGCGTCAGCAGCGCAGTTTAAATTGAGTGCTGAGCATAAATCAATATAATTAACTCGGCAGTCTATCTGGGGTGCTTAAGCCAGGCAGGTGAATGAAGGTGATTGGCTATTTGGAGTAGATGCCACTCACTGCTCCCATCCTCCCACACGAGTTACTGGACGCGCAGCAAAAAGGGACCCCAGCCCCTTCCAGAGGCCCTTCCCTGGGTGCTGTGGGCTTGGCAGAGCCCCGGGAGGCCACAGCAGACCTGGCTGTCCCCAGGCTCACAGCGTGCAGCTCCTGCCCAGCACCTGGAACATGGCTTGCAGGCCTCGGGAGAGCTTCCCCACGGAAAACAGGGGAGAGCACCCATAGCTGAGCACCTACAGCTCCCTCCTGTGTCCCTTCCACCAAAAGATGCAGCAGTGGGAGCAGGAGTGAATGGGAAAAAGGGAGAAAAGAGGAGAAAAATGGAGAAGAGATCTGTTCTTGCGGATCTCCATGGGGTCCACCAGTGGTGCTGTGCCTCTGAACAAGAGCTAGAGATGGCACAGGGGCTTTTCCCATGGCATCAGGGCTTACTCCCAGCCTTGGGTGCTTCCCTGGGACTTGGCTGCAAGCCTGGAGAAGGTTCTCTTTTCCAAGATGTGGTGCAGAGCTCCTCGTTCTCCCCTGGGTAACAACAGCCTGCTGCGTTTATTCTGCCTGTGGTTCGTGTTCCCCTTTTCAGGAGTTAATGCCTTCAGGAAAAGGTCCCTGGGAATTCCATAAATAGAGGATAATGGAAGAGAATGGGGTTTCTGGAGAGCCATAATTCAAGGCTTCCAGCACTGCATTAGCAGCTTCTTTGTGTGACTAAACACGGTGTCTTTTGGCTGCCAGGTATCTTCAGAGAGCAGTGGCTGGGGCTGCACCAAGAGAAGAACCACCAAGGCTTTGTGACTTTCATCACCCTGTAATTTTGGTCACAGCTTGGGAATTAGCCTGACTAACAAGGTGCTCATTTCGTGGCAGATACCTTTGGTTTCCCCTGGAGTCACGCTGTGAATCTCTGAGTGACCTAAAATTAGCTCTTCTGTAGGAAAGGGAATTAATCTGCCCAGGATTGATATGGGAAGGGCGTCCCTCCTTTTGTCCTCTTTGCTTTTCCTGTGGCTCTGTGAATCTGGAAAACTCATGCTGACCCACAGGTGTGGCAGGCACATTCTTCTCTCTCTCGGGATTTTTTCAAAGAGGAGCACGGAGGAAAGAAAGAGAAAATTTTTATTTCTGCTCCTTGTTTTTCCCATGTGGAATGTGTTTGGGGAATTGTTTACCTAGGGTGATTGCTTGGTTGGATTCTGGTGAGGATTTTTTGAGCCTGGTGGCTAATCCAACCCACCTGGGGCTGGGCTCTCAGAGAGGGGCACGAGTTGTGAGGAGTTAGGTATGGTAGGTAGAAAAAGTAGGTTTGTATTTTTAGTATCTCCTTTAAATAGTATATTGATGTATTATAGCCTAGTTATAATACAGAAATCATTCAGCCTCTTGAGCTGGAGCAGACATCATAATTTCTTCCCATGGGTTCATTTGCAATACTCAGGGAGCTCTGGGCTGTGGAGGGGAGCCCCTGCAAGCACCAGGGCTGCCTCGGGACAAGTGGTCCCCATCCCCTGTGTCCTCTCCCACCCTCCCTGCTGGCTGATCACAAGTGTGGCCGTGGATGAGCTCAGCTCTCCTCGTCGTGGATCAGACGCGTCCTGCTCACTGTTGGAGCAGCCCGAAGTGCAGGACTGGGACAGCAGGGCTTGGTAGCCCAAAAACCCCCGTTGTTCAGGCTGCCCCAGGGGTCTGGGTGTTGGGATGACCTTAAGATTGTAAAAGCCTTTGTTTCTTAGCCTGCACAGCCAAAGCTGTTTGAAACGCGCAGGGTCGGCTTCTCAAGGTTGTTTATTGTTCCTTTTCTTTAACATTCTTTCTCTGATCTGCTGAGCTCTGTCCAGCAGCTCGGCCATGGCATTCTGTTCTCCATCTTGGGTGGCATTTACATTTTATACCAAAAACTGTGTGCCATGTTTACAATAATGTGCCAGTATCTGTCATTTATGTTGGACAATTTGTCTCTACCTTAAACCAACAGAAAAGTGTCACCAGCACAGCAAGACATGGAGGGCAAGGAGAAGGAGAAGGCCAGGACATGCTCAAATCCCTCCATCTTGTCCCCTTGAACCCCACTGGAAAACCCCCAAAATTCTACTTTTTCACCCTGTGTTAATTCAACCACCACGCCACTCAAACCCTTGTGGCTTGTAACTCCTCACACAGAGTTGGCAGCTTTTTCCATGGGCTAAAATCAAAGCCACGGGTGTTTTTGTCTTGTGCCAGGGTCTGGGGACGGCCAGGGCAGCCAGAGGGGTGAGCTGGGCTCCGGCAGTGCCTCTGAGGACGCAGCATTTCCAGCCAGCCCTCCTGGCAGGCAGGGATTCAACGGCGCGGCTCCGCGCTCCTCTGGAAATCCTCCACGGAGCTCTTGGTGCCATCCAGGAGCGCCTGAGGAGTGGGATTGGCACTCACTAACGAGGTGCCCTGCTTGGCTCTGCTGCTCCTCTCCTCTCACTGACCGGCAGCCAGCCCCGAGCGGGGCTTGGGGTCGTACGGATAAATACGTCCTGAAGGAAAAGGGCTGCAAACACGGCACGTGGCAGCCGGGGGGATTGCCACCACCAGAGCCGTGACTTGGTGCCCAGCAGCTGCTGGGAGCCGGTCAGAAAACACCTTTCCTCTTGGGGTTGGGCACCTGCGTTCCTCTAAAGGTGGAGCTCGGGACGCCCGGAGCTGACAGCACCCCACGCCCGCCCCAGTCTAACTCCCGCGCCTCGTCTCACCGCGCCCTTCTTCCCGTGCAGGGGGCCACGAGCTGGAGCAGATGCAGCTGATTCTGGAGACAATCCCCGTCATCCACCAGGAGGACAAGGAGGAGCTGCTGAAGGTGATGCCCATGTTCATCAACAGCACGTGGGAGGTGCGGAAGCCGCTGCGCAAGCTGCTGCCCGAGGTGGACGGTGAAGGTACCGTGCTGGCCGCTGGCTCGGCGGGGCTTCCCCCGGCTGCCGTGTGCTCGGAGCCGTCTCCTTGGAGTGCCACAGGAGCTGTCTCAGGCCTAAGGCCTGGGAAAGGCTGGAGAAGGGGCTGCACATCCCTGGCTGTAGCGCAGACATCACAGAATCACGAGGTTGGAAGAGACCTCTGAGATCATCAAGTCCAACACATGCCCCAACACCACAACTAGACCATAGCACCAAGTGCCAAGTCCAGTCTTTTTTTAAACATATCCAGAGATGGTGATTCCACCACCTCCCCAGGAAGACAAATCCAGTATTTTATTATTCTTTCAATGAAAAAGTTTTTTCCTAATATCCCCACTGCTGTCCCCTCACAGGCTGCCTGTCCCTGGGCCCTGCCACGGGACAGCACTCATGGTGCTGCATATTGCTCACAGCTGGCTCCTAAGGGTGAAACACACTTCCAAAACCCTTTGGAGGTACATCCCTGGCTTCCCATGTGTCTCCCCGAGCTCTGAGTGAGGACTCAGCCCCGAGGTCCTTTCCAAGCCCCGTTGGCTCCTCGCTGTGCTGGCCTGAGCGCAGTTGTGCAGCACAGCGAGGGACAGGCTTTTCCTTCCTTGTCTGGACCAACACCCTGGCTCCTGAGGTGTTACAGACAGCATCAACCAGTGCTCTCTGAGCTCCTTCTGAGGCTTAAACCCGGCCTGGCCGCCTGCTTTTGGGAGGTCAGGACCAGGCTGGGCTCCCGTTTGCTGTGTGGCTCCTCATTTGGGACATGCCCTGGTGCCACGACATCCCCGGCGCCGGGGCAGCCGTGTCAGCCTCTGCAAGCAGCAGCAGGATTATTCCCTGCCGTGGCTGCAGGAGGAAAGGTCACCCGCACCCCTGACACAATTCATTGTCATTTTCCTGCCTCGCTGCCCCGCGGTGCATCACAATATTTAGCCTGTAATGTGTTGTTGTGACCTTATGGAGTAATTGATTCCTTTCTGCTTAATTAGTCCGGGCGGTGAGGTAATCTCGTGGGAGACAGTCGTAAATTGGTTAATGTTTAAGCTCTGCGGCAGCACGTGTGGCTGTCCTTTCTGCCGAGGGGTCCTGCCCCTACAGAAACTGTCCCATTCACACGGTAACATCTTTAATGGGGATGTTCCTGAAGGCTTCAATGCGAAGCTGTATCTGAAAAAAGGCATTATTCCTATTTTTATTGCTTGAACTCACAGGGACTTTCCCATGAACAACAGGACAAGCAACAACTTCAGTGACAGGATTTTACCTTTACACATAGCCTCAGTAGAAGGAATTATCAAAGCAATCATAGCAAACACTCTGCATTTAGGTTTAATTGCACTTACATTTCCTGCCATCACAGAAAGAGTTCACGCACCACAGTCTTTTTAGCCACTCATAATTCTTCAAACATTGATGGGTGAAATAATTTCGTAGCATCAGTCACGCCAAAGGCTTTTAAAAATTGCAGTAAATACCATCTGCTTCATGCAGATTGTACCTAAGACGTGAAATTGGCGTGCTTGCCCAGTGGATGTGAGGGCGTGGAGTCAGACCCAGCTCAAATCCCAGATCCCAGATCCCAGATCCGAAGGCTGTTTTGGGGTGAGATGTCAGCTCAGTGCAGGGCTGTCACGCCGGGTGTGTGATGCATGCCTGCGGTCCTGCACAGGTGCCAGGGTGCTCTGCAGTCGCTGCCCCAGCTGTGCTGCAGGGCTGCAGCGTTGCTCCCCTGCAGGCTCACAGCTCCCGTGAGGAGCAGGGGGACGCAGCAAGGACAGAAGTGCCCGGCTTGGGTCCACCTGGGGGTGGCCTTTAACCCATCCCTTACGGCAGGGGGATTTGTTCAGGGGGCTGGCGAGGCAGTTCCTGCTTTTGAGGAATTGGCGAGCTTGTTTGTCTCTTCCTCGCAGCGATTGATTTTCTGGAGAAAATACTGACATTTAACCCCATGGATCGATTAACGGCCGAGATGGGCCTGCAGCACCCCTACATGAGCCCGTACTCCTGCCCCGAGGACGAGCCGGTGTCCCAGCACCCGTTCCGCATCGAGGACGAGATCGACGACATCCTGCTGATGGAGGCCAACCAGAGCCAGATGTCCACCTGGGACAGGTAGGGCGCCAGGGCGGGCTGGAGAGCAGATCTGCCTGCAGTGCTCCGGGCAGAGCGCTCTGAGTGCTGCTGGCTGGATTCCAGCCGCCGCGTCCCAGGCCCACGCAGGACGCCTGCTTTTCCTTCTTGATGCCACGCTGTGATTCCAGCCCGAGCTGGCGCCTCGCTGAAGCCGCCCAGAGGCTCGTCCTGGGTTCCACAGGGACCAGAAGCGGAGCCTGCACACCCCAGTCGCTGAGCACCTTTCTGCTCTTGGTTTTACTCACAGCCCAGGTTGTCTTCACCTGGGTTTAAGTGGCTCTGCAGCCCTTACCTCTGCCCTCTGTCCCTATAGCACAGGTTACAGAATACTGTAATTCTTGTACCTTTTGGCCCTGTGATTTGGCCCTGATTTGGCACTGTGCTACATTCACCACTTTTCAAGGAGCACAAACCCCAGAGGCCACAGATCTGGGGGCCTTGTAAAACATCCTGAATTGTGTTGATGTTTAAACGGTTTGCTGGAAGCCGCACGGGAAGTTTAGAAGCTGAAAGCCTTGAGCTGAGGTCTCTCACGTTCTAGGTGGTTGCCCCAGCCACTGGGCCAGTCCCAGCACTGGAGCAGGCAGGACAAAATTAGCAGATGGGAATTAACGAGGTTCAGTTTTCTGTAGAGCTCCTTCCGGCTGTGGGGGATGAACTGGCTGAGGATTTCTGAGCACTGCTCCTCTCTGCAGAGCAACTGAACCTCCTCCCCTTCCTGAGCCACTGGACTTCACCAGCATTGAAAAAATCACCCAAAGGAACCCTCTCCTCGCCCTCACTGTCATTAGTCCCTTTGCCCGAGTGATAAAGGTCAGGGTGGGGCCTGGGGGGCTCAGTCGGGTGGGGAGGAAGGCTGGAAGTGGGATATTCACCTTCGGTGTATCCCCACAGTCCCAGCACCCCTGCCAGGTACAGCAAACACACTGGGAACAGCCCACCGCAGGCTGTGGGTCCTGCAGCACGAGCCAGGTGTTCTGGGGACAGGAGGTGACTTTGGCTGCGTGCTGTGGGACACCCGAGAGCAGCGTGTGGCTGTGGCAGAGCCCCAGAACCGGGGATAACGTGTGCTACAGGCAGCTCACTCAGGAGCCAGTAAGTCAGGCGTCACTGGGAGAGCCGTGGGGGCTGTCGGGGAGGTGCAGGGCAGGGATTTCGGCTGGCTGGAGAAGCTGTCACTGAGCAAGGTGAGCTCAGGAATGCTCTGGGTCCTCGACATCAGAACCAGCTGGTGATGCCCAGCCTCAGTGGGGTTGGTCACAGAATTCCCAGAATCACAGAATCACCGGGTTGGAAGAGACCTTCAAGATCATCGAGTCCAACCCAGCCCCAGCACCTCAACTCAACCCTGGCACCCAGTGCCACATCCAGGCTTTGTTAAACACATGTAGGGATGGCGACTCCACCACCTCCCTGGGCAGCCATCCCAGAACTTCATCACTATTTCTGTAAAAACCTTTTCCTAATATCCAACCCCTGGCACAGCTTGAGACTGCGTCCTCTGGTTCTGTCAGTTTTAGGTCTTTTACTGTTCTGTCACCAAACAGGAAGGACTCTCGCTGTGGTACCTGTCTGTGGGCTGAGGGGTAGATTGCTTATTAATGGTGCTAATCAATTTTTAGCCCTGAGAGGAGGGGAGATGATCGGCATCTGAAGGAAGGAGCTGCTTGGTTTGTTTGTTGGGGTTTTGTTCCTGCATCTCAGGCTCTTGACAATAAAAATTACTGACCCCCTGGCATTTTAACGCAGAAGAGAATGTCAGTAAGCAGAATGTCAGCGAGCAGAAGGCCGGGCGAGCAGCAGCAGCAGCCTGGGGCGGGTTTGGGCACTGCTGTTGCCCGTGTCTCACAGCGGTGTGTCTTTGGCAGGTACCACATCAGCCTCTCCTCCGACCTGGACTGGAGGCACGACAAGCCCCACGAGATGGACGAGGTCCAGCGGGACCCCCGCGCGGGCTCCGAGTCCACCGCGGAGGAGGCGCAGGTCGACCCGCGGAAATACTCCCAGAGCAGCTCCGAGAGGTTCCTGGAGCTGTCCCACTCGTCCATGGACCGCGTGTTCGACGCCGACTGCGGGAAGTCGTGCGATTACAAAGTGGGGTCGCCCTCCTATCTGGACAAGTTGCTGTGGAGGGACAGTAAGCCCCACCACTACTCGGAGCCCAAGCTAATCCTGGATTTATCCCACTGGAAAAGGGCGACCATAGCACCCGCAGCTGAGCTGTCGCTGGAAGAGGAGCCATCCAACCTGTTTCTGGAGATCGCCCAGTGGGTGAAGAGCACGCAGGCGGGGCTGGAGTGCCCCAGCTCCCTGCCGGAGATGCAGGAGCGCAGCCTGCCCTCCTCTCCTCACCACCTGCACAAGGAGCCCGCGGAGGTGAGCAGCGAGACCGACCCCGACTTCGACCTGGACGTCTTCATCTCCAGGGCGCTGAAGCTTTGCACGAAGCCCGAGGATCTTCCGGACAACAAGCTCAGCGAGATCAACGGGGCCTGCATCTCGGAGCACGCCGGGGACATGGTGCAGGCGGAGGTGTACCAGAAGGAGCGGTGGTGAGCCCCCGCGGGCCCCGCTGCACCCCTGTTCCTCCGGGGCGGTGCGGCCGCTGCGCGGGGCCCGGCGGCTCCCGGGTGTCACCGAGCGTCCCCTCTCCACACTACCCAACGCCTTTTCCGGGAAAGGCAAGCACAAACCACGCGCCCCTTGCGATGCCTTAGAAGTGCTTCTAAAGGTAACCAGAGGTGCGAGCGAAATCCTGGGTTTCTTACACTGCCTTAACAATCTTGCCTTGCGATCTCTGGGACCTGTTTGAAGCTTAAATGTACGAGGGGAAGAAACGACAGTACATGGTAGGTTTACAAACAGTAGTCAAACAGACTTATTTTCCTTTCTTTTTCTATAGCAACTTGAAACGACAAGGACACAATTAACATTTTCAGTACGGTCAGATTCCCTCCTGGGTGGACAGGTTCCCAAAACGCCAAACTCTGAGCCGCTCTGAGGCGCCTGTGCGAGGACAGGTACGGAATAAAGTGATGCCAGCCGTCAGTCAGCACAGAATGGAACTAGAGGTAGAGTTTGGCCACCAGACAGAAAAATAACTCTCTGAGAATACGAATGAGGAAGAAATTTGACCTACAAAGTACGGGCCGCTGGGGATCTGTTTTATTTTCTCTGAGGACAAGACAAAATTTTTGCTAAGTGCATTTTGCTGGTTAGTGGTTTCTCACACCAAAAGCTTCCCTTCAGTCGCGGGGGATGCACGGGGATCTGAGCTTTCCGAGCACTTCGGAGGGCCCGTGTGATGCACTTCAGGGCGACAGCCTGGTGCTCGGACAGCTGCCGCTAGACCAGCGAATTCCAGCGGGATGGGGAGGGCTGGGCGGGCGTGAGAGCTGGGAGCAGGGAGCGACGCTGCCCGGCACCTCCAGCCACACGGACCCAGCCAGGGCTCAGCTCACACCCACCTCTGCTGCTGAAAAAGGACTCAAAGTGCTACAGGCTTTCCTCCTGACAAAGATCTCGTGAAGAAAACAACAGTTCCTGTGGCATGAGCTTCCTAACCGGCCACTTTGCTCCCAGCTTCTCTGGGAGATGCTGGTGTCAGCGGGCAACTGTGTGTAAATAGATGAAGACACGGCTGATCTATCTACTGTACCTTCTGTTTCCATCCACACTTCTGAGCACCTTAATAATGAATCAGCTAACAAGAGTTTGTATAGGGAAGAAATGTTCTATACTTATATTTAACCCAACTCGGCAGCTTTTTAAATGGGAGATCTGTAAACAGTGCCATACAAGACAGCTTCTGCTTTCCTCACCATCCTGCTGCTGTGCTGCCCGGCACAGCGGCACTGCTGGCGTTTGTACAGGAGAAACTGCTGTATTTAGTACTGCAAGGCCCATATTTAACTATTCCTGTGTGGATTATTTCTACCCTTTTAACAAGCAATCCGCTGAACGCTCTGAGACGTGAAGAAACGCGTGTGAGGCTCCGATGACTAGCAGCAGTGCTTGCTGCTTTGCTGGTTTCCGTTCTTGCTGGGACCAGGGTTAGCTGTGGCAGGCCTTGACAAGCCCAGAAAGGTGTTCCTGTGTGAGGATCTCGCGTCGGGGCGATGGGAATGCCACTGCTCCAGCCCATCGGCAGCACTGGTGTGAAGGCAGCCAGCTGCAAGGATGGCATGGGGCGCAAGTCCAGCTGCAGGGGTGGGGAAGGCATTTGGAAGGCAAAGCTGACGGAGGAGGCCTGAAAAGGCAAAGCCATTTGTCTCAGGTCCTTGCTGAGAGCGTTTGCATGTCCCCCAGAGCGGTTTAGAAAGGGGAAACGGGACAGAGACAGAGGTTTGGTTTCTGGGGTGTTGCAGATGATTGATATACCTCAACTAAAGCTCAGCACTTTCACTGGGGGTGGGGGACATTCCAATGGAAGGAGCAGCTGCCCCGCACTGGAGCAGATCCAACTAGCCCCGAAGACCACGGCTGGCTGTCCTTGGTCCTGATGACCACGGTCCTGCTGACCACGGTCGTGCTGCCCACTGTCCTGCTGACTGTGATCCCACTGCCCACAGCCTCACCACCCAATATCCCACTGTCCATGATCCCACTGCCCACTCTCCCACTGCCCACTGCCCACTGCCCACTGCCCACTGCCCAATATCTCACTGCCCACAGCCCCCTGCCCACAGTCCCGCTGCCCACTCTCCTACTGCCCACTCTCCCACTGCCCACAGCCCCACAGCCCCACTGCCCACAGCCCCATGCCCACTGCCCACTGCCCACTGCCCCACTGCCCACAGCCCCACTGCCCACTCTCCCACTGCCCAATATCCCACTGCCTACTGCCCACTGCCCCACTGTCCACTGCCCCACTTGCCCACTGCTCCACTGTCCACTCTCTCACTGCCCACAGCCCCACTGCCCCACTTGCCCACAGCCCCACTGTCCACTCTCCCACTGCCCCACTGCCCACTGCCCACTGCCCCCGGGCTGGAGGGTGGTGTGCCAGGGCAGGGAAGGCGCAGGACCCTCGGCTGTGTCCCACGGGCTCGGGAGGAGGATCCGTCCATCCCAGTGGGAGCGGCGTGGCTGCAGCGGAGTGGCCAGCTGCCCACCCGGAGCCAGCAGAGCCCAGGGCACGGGGGGAGAGCGGTCAGTGACCCCAGGAGCCCCTCTGGCAGGCGGAGCAGCACCGTGCTGCCCTGGGGCTGGACACCAGCCTGCGCAATCCTCGCCAGGCAGCGGTGGCCATGTCCCCTCAGCCCAGCACCATTCCCATGGGCTGTCACTTCTTCTCCAGAGGCCTGCAGGACTGTTTGTTATGGCCGTGAAAGAAAGGGTTTTGCTCTCGAGTGTTGTCCTGTGGGCCCACAATTAAAGTGTAAGACGGACTCAGTAACGAGCAAACAGAGCGTGTCGCCGCCGCTTGGGATTTTCCATCTCGCTTTGTGAGCTCTTGTTTAATGTCGTTCCAAAACCTCAGCGTCACATGCTGGGAAAAGGGGATAAGAGGGATGGCTTTAATTTGTTACCTGAGTGTGCTTAGCTGATCACAAGCCAGATCTGTCTCTCATTTGCAGAAATAAAATGTAAGGCCTGAGCCTTCCTTGCGTGGCAGTGTGTAATTGTTTCACAAATTATTACTATTGTTATTGTGAAGTGTTCACTCCAGTAGTGGTGTCTAGATCTCTTCTGCAAATCACAGAATTCATTCAGGTTGGAAAAGGCCTTTAAGAGTGAACATGAAGACCCAGATCACATCACATTTGCATTCTGGGGTTACCTGGTGTTGGGCTGCTCCTCACCCAGCTTTGTTTCAGCAGGTTCAGGCTGCCTGAGCACTCGGGGTCACAGGGAGGGAATTGAGAGTCTGTCATCATCTGTGTCTCACGCAGTTCAAAGATTAGTTTCAGTGCAAGATCCCCCATCAGGTGTTTCAGTAAATCTGCAGAGGACATTCACTGAAAGAGACACAGAGCGCTGCTGTTGCTGACAGTGGTGCCATCGCGTAGCCCTGGGACGGGTGCACACCCCAGACTCAGAGATGTGGGCCTGGATTTTATTTAAAGAACAACAGTGGGAGCAGAAAAATCCCTCCCTGAAACTGCAGGAGCTGCTCCTGGTGGCTCCTGGCCAGGATCTGCCCTTCCACTGCAGCCTGGGAACCCGTTGGGAAGGTGATTTTAAAACTCCCATAAATGTCAAAAAGATGCCTCCAACGGCTCTGCTGCTGCCCCAGTGATTGTTCCCCCTCAGTCACAAATATGTGACTGTTTTTGCTGCAGTTTATTTTAATCGTGCTGGGACTCAGCAGCTGTTACACCATCGCAGAGTTTCACCATTGCCATAACCAACTTCAGCTGCCTTTTAAAGGGTGGGGACATCCTGGGAGGCTTTTCCTGTGCAAATCCCTCCCAGATCCCAGAGCAAAACCACGACATAGCAACAGTGAATTTTACAAGTGGGCTATCTGGAGGCTGGGCTGAAAATGATCAGTTCTGTCCCTTGGAGCAATTTCATGCCACCATCTACAGTTTTTGAGAGCTTGCAGTGTGCAGTGTGGCATGCAGGCGTTTCAGCTCTGAAATGTTCTTTCTGTTTCAGCTGGTTCCGAGAGGAATAGAAGAGAACAAATGCACCATATGGTGTATGCCTGTGAATTGTTGCCTTTGACATTTTGAAAGGCAGAGTTTGATTTTGAAGCAGTACAATATCCGGGTGAATGGAGTCCTCTCAAAGTGCATCTTCACTTTCTGAAGCCGTGCTCACCCCGGTGTTTTAAACTGCCGTCTAGGCACTGGGGAAGCTGGTTTATAATGATCATATTGCTAAATTCAGAGTGGGTTTTTACTTATTAAAATAAAAATATTCTGTCTTAGAAAGCACAGCCTTTTCACACAGCATCTTTCCCTGCCTGGTCTTGGCTTGTGGTGGAATAAAGTGCAACAAAAGGATCTCTGAATGGTTGCTTTCATTAATGTTGCAGTGACAATTAGGTGTTTTAGGAAGTTTATATGAATTTTTTGAAGCTTTGGAAGGAATATACCCAAGGACATCTTTGACAGCACAGGCTATTCTGAAAAATAGAGATAATTCCCGTGTAAGCCAACGCTGCCTGAAGCGTTTGTGTCTACCAGAGATGCCAAACTCCTGGGATGTTTCTGGGAGTCCATCAGGCATTTCAGGAGGGCAGTGGGGTCAGCAGGACAGCCTGAAGCGGACAGCCCGCTGCTCTTGGAGCCACGGGGTGGGTTTTGCCGTATGGATGGGGGCAGGATGGCATTTTAGTGCTGAAACGCTGCCTTTAAAATGTGTGTGCTGCCCGTCCCTAAACCCTGCTGGCCTCCGCAGCGCCTGCAGCAGCGCTCGGTGAGGAGTGTCCCGTCACACCAGCTCAGTGCCACAGCTCCTGGAGGCTCCCAGGGACCTGAGGAATGGTGACATTTCCCCAGAGAAAAGTGACATGGCTCCCAGGGACCCAGGGACAGTGACAGTTCCCCAGGGAACAGTGACATGGCTCCCAGGGACCTGAGGAATGGTGACATTTCCCCAGGGAACAGTGAGATGGCTCCCAGGGACCTGAGGAATGGTGACATTTCCCCAGGGAACAGTGACATGGCTCCCAGGGACCTGAGGAATGGTGACATTTCCCCAGGGAACAGTGACATGGCTCCCAGGGACCCAGGGATGGTGACATTTCCCCAGGGAACAGTGACATGGCTCCCACCTTAGAGCTCAGGGATGGTGACATCTCATGGAGAACGAGGTCAAGCTTCTGTCCCAAGATTTGTCACCTACTGCAGCTTCTCTTGGCTTTCCACACTGCACTGTGTGTGCAGCATGACTTTTGCAGCAAAGCAGGCCAAATGTTTGTAGAACTTTACATGTCCTTTCTTTTCCTGGGGGGCTGGGGAGTTGTGCCACTGGTGAAGTGGCACAATTGTGACTGTTTGTCCTGGTTTAGGGGAAATTTTGTGAGGAAACCTCCAAAAGGAGTCCGTCTACAAATCAAGTTCAAGCGGCCCTTCTCCCTACTATTTCAGGAGAAGACTTCCCTGGAGAAAAGTGAAAAAAATCAGTTTATTTAACAAGTAAAGTGTTCACAAGCATGAATAATATGAAATAAACCCCCTCAGAGTTCTGAAGAGGTGGCAATTCAGAAAGTCCTTTTTGTGGGTTGTAGTTGGCTCACTCGGTCTCTTCTCAGTCCCTCTGGCACTGGAATGCAGGGTCCCAGACCTTGGTGGGCCACAGGTGTGAGCTGCCAGTGTTTTTCTGGGTTTTCAGTCCAGAGCAGGTTTAAACAGTTCCAAGAAAAAGGAAAGTCTGTGATGGTGATTAAATTGTTCAAATGTTCAGCTCCTGTTTGTTGGCAAGAAACCTTTCTGTGCCTCTGAGTGTCACCATCCCTGAGCCCAAAGGACACAAACCTGATGAGTTGTGGTTTCCACTGCAGGGGCACTTGGGACCTTGGCTCTGCACAGTCTGACATGTCCCCAGGGAACAGTGACATGCAGGGAGGACTCCCACCTGCAGACCCACAGGTGGAGGGAAGGCAAGCACAATCAGCGTGATTGATAAGCAAGCTTCGTTTATGCAAAAATCCTGTCAGTTTATGTGGGGTTTGCTACAAGCAAAGTCAGCAGCAGCTCTCATTGCTTTCACAAAGGTCTTTGTCCTGTTTAGCCTACGTGCATTTACAACCATAGCCAGGTTCCTCAAGCCAAGTTTCTCATCTCTAGTCACATCATTGTGGTACATCCCATCTTCTCTGGGCACATCTTGTCACACAGCCTGTTCTTGTACAAGCATATCTCCAAGGATGTGCTCATCCTTATTCTCTCATTCCCACCTTGCTCCGTTTCCCAGGCCTAGACAGACCTTGCAGAGTTTCCCAGGCCTAGACACAGAGCCACTTTCCCAAGCTCTGTTCCCAAGCCAGATTCTGATTCTGATTCTGGGGTCTTCGACAGAGGTATCAATGAATAACTGTTCCATTGATCCCCTCTCCTGCAACCATTCACCAGCACACAGGCAGTGACATTTCCCCAGGGAGCAGCGACGTGCAGGGAGGGAAGAAAATGCTTTCAGCCCAAAGTGTTCTGCAAATCCCTGTGCCCATGGGCAGCTGGGCACTGGGAAGCAGTTATCCAGGTAAGTCCTTCCCTAAAACACTTGGTGTGCAAGGCCAGGACTCAGCCAGGCACAGCAGGACTCAGCTCTGTGTGTGTGCACACACACAAGTGTTCCGTGTGCTGAGCACCTGGCAGGCCCTGGATCAGGATCCAGACTGGGAGGGTTTGTTTCCAACCTCACAGCTCCTCCTTGCCCACTCGTGACAACGGTCAACCACATCTTCTCGCCCTCCTTCTCCCCAAGAGGTGGGAATTCCTCCATCAGAACTCCTCTGACTGCTGTAGGGATAAAACAGACAAGAGGCCAGTGGACCACAAGCAAAATGCACCGAGGATCTGAGCTCTGCTCATACAAGCTGCCTGCTTTTCCGGCTTGCTGGAGGTGGTTGATACTGGAGTTACTCCATCCCCGAGCAGGCAGCCCACGTTTCTACGGAGCTGGATGTCGGGGATGAGTGTGGATGGGCAGCACTGGCATCCTACCCAGGAACACTGCTCAG